GGCTAGGGATAGGACTTAATCTGCTAGAGCTTGCTGTCAAACTATAAAGCAAATTTCCTGACAGACTTTCCTTCCCAGCTTCCAGAGCCACTATTTTCACTGAGGAACATTTAGTCCTTACTGCTCTCTTGGGATTGAGTTACCAAAACCAGAATTTTCCTGCAAGGTTCCATCATTTTGCCTGTGTCAGATACTGTCTCTGGGAGGCCATGGGACAGTAAAAGCAAAGGATTCTCTCAAGACCTGGACTGGTGCCAGTCCCAGGAGGAGGTGAGGGACCTTACCTTATATCGCTTCATGCAGTCTTTTTTTGACCGGCCTGGAACAGCTGCTGCTATTTTCTCCCATCTTTCAGGAGTATTTACTGGATAAGTCTTCAATGCTTGTTCTAAAAGTTTTTGTTCTTCTGTAGTCCAAGGGGATGAATCTAGAGGTGATCCTGTTTTTAAATGCAAAAATGACAGCAAGAATACATATTTAAAAAGAGTCTAGAAAATAGTCTAAAACCTATTATAGTTGATTTAAAATCCCTGAAGTTTTGGGGTGTATTGTCTGTACCAGGAACGCTCAAATGTGGCACCAGAGACTGGATCACTTACTATCAAAGTTTGTAAACAAATCTTAAGTTATGGGTTACTTTCTTCCTAAAAGACCCAGGGGAAAGAAGTACACAAGAAGAGCTCCCTTTTCAACTTTACCTTCAAATCGTTCTGAGGGGGCAGCACTGTCCATCTGAGGCACCACACCATGTTCTTTTTTAAATTTGTCAAATGCTTTCTTGTTTATGTCATCTTTTTGATGAGGGTCTATGAACAACAGACATGAAAAAAAATAATTATTGCAAGAATATTACAGCCAGATGTAATAATAATATTCTGTAGCAGATTAATTACAATAATCACAAAATCAAAAACCCAATTTGTGCTTACTTTAAAATGACTACAAAAATGGTGGTAGATTAAAAAGAAAATAATTCAGGGTCCAATAAACTTTTCTCAGAGTGTCAGATTCTCCAACGCTTATCCAGCTTTATAGTGCTCAGAGGAATACTTGTTTCATATAATCTTAAACCTGAATCTGCAACTTCCCCAAAACAACGAGGGATTATTCTCTCAAGGGCTGTGGCAAAAAACTCACAGGGTATGACCATGTCAGAGAGGCAGGAAAATCCAGGTGTTCCTCATGCCACTCTGTGGTTTGTAATGCAGAAACCTCTTGAAAATTTAGTGGGTTTTTTTCCTTCTGTAGTGAAATGTGTAATTTCTCTGCGACCTTATTCCAGAGCTCTCTAGGCTTCATTTTCCATTTTTATATTCATTTTTGAAGAGGAGATGAGCCACATTCATTTAGGTGTCTTACTCTGGTGTTGGACTCCATTAATTTTTTTTAAAGTATCTCTAGAGCTTCATCAGTTCCATTTATTTTATATGCCTTCCTTTGTAGGGAGCTTTCTGAGAGGCCCATTTATCTCTCTCTGAGCCCTGACATTTCATGTGTCCCAGACACCAGAGCATCAAGCTACACTAAGAGAGTTTCTGAGAGTTGCTTGTGAGGTGCTGACTTACAAGACACCCATTAGGATGAAGACACTGAATCACATAAATGCTCCTCTAAATCCTCCATCTGAACTAAATTTCTTTTGGGGCTGTACAGAGTATTTTCATAGGAAACACAGCTCCAGTCACAGAAAAGTCAACTGTACAGAAGCAGGCAGACCATGTATTACAAAAATAAGGTAATATAGATACCAAGCTTTTGGAGACTCTTTGCTTTATTGATGACATCTTTTGCTGTTCGTTTTATTCCAGTAGTAGAGTGCAAGTTCATATAATTGGCAATAACTTCCCACCTACAGCAAGAACAGAAAGGATAAACCAGCATATTACATGATACCTTATCTTCATATAAGATATGGTCAAGCTCCTCTACACATTTTTGTAAACTCCTGAGTAAGTTCAAACATATTTAAATACATGCAAAATCCCAGAGTAGCTGTTCTGGAAAGTATTCAGTCACTAACTGAAGAATTCAATCAGCTTGGGTGAACTTCTCCGTTTCCAATACAGAAAAAGGATGGGGTAGAATGTAGGTAAGTGCAAACCTCTAATCCTCAAAATTCTGCTAAATTGCTGTTATCCTGAATTCCCTAAACACCTCTGGCATTAAATACTGCAGGCTGCACTGAAGGGCCGAGTAGTTACTAACCTTAGGTCCACTGCCCCCCCCAGAATAACTAAACATCAGGTAAAGGGGCTTAAACAGCTGGAACAACCCTAGTCCCAAGATCATTCCTAGTGGATTCTTACAAAATGGAGGCAGTGTGTACCACTGCTCAGACAGGAGCCTTGACTGCTGAGCTGCAGAAACAGGCACTGGTATCATCTCCATGGAGTATGGCAGCTATTTTTTTTTCAGTAAGCATCCAAATTTTGTAATGGATGTTTGAAATCTCTGTAATCCTATATGGAAGAAGGCATTTCATTCCTGGGAAAAAGTATTTAAAGCATGCTCCTGTTCTTGCTTAGCAGTAAACTGAGTGCTAGTGAGCCTTTCCTTTTTCCTCTGGCTCTCCCCTGAAGAAAGCTATTTTGGGATATTTTCCTCCTACCATATAGAGGAGAAACCAGCCTCACATTCATTGTGGAGCCCCTGGAAGTAGCTTACACATGTGTATTCCTACCCAGCTGCACCCCAGTCACTGGTGTGATTTTTGTTCTCCGCTTTAAGGACTGGACCCTACCGTGGAGTAAGCCCTGTGCACACAGGCACCTCAGCACCATCCTAGTAATGGACTGAGGCCCAAATCTGGGGGGAAACAAGGTACAGGGCCAGAGCTGTGACACACAGAGCATGGTACCAAGGAAAAACAAACCACTGGCTGCTTTTGAGCCAAGGAAAAGAAAGATGTTTAGGAAGTCCTTATACTGACGAAGTACTTAGGATGATCTGAAAATATTTTTATTATGCTTATTTAATTAAAAATTGTTAGTCAGGACTTTTAGCACCAAACCCGAGAAGTACCTTGAGTTAGTCCCTGCTGGAAAGAGGTTCACAGCTTTAATTAACAACTGTAAATCATCCTCTGGCCAATTTTTGCTTCCCCCTCCACCGCCAGTGGTTGCCTTTTCTGAGCTCTTTGTTGCTTGGCGCATACGAGCTTCTGCCTCTTCTTTCTCTCGCCTTATTTGTTCATTTATTTCTTCTATCTAAAGATTGCAAATAAGCATTATTTATTTACTTACTGAATTATTGTTACATTTTACAGTGACACAATCCCCTCTCTGGACTTCCTTTGAACCTTGGATTTTGCTTAGTTTTTGTTCTGTGTATTATATGTAAGGAAACAGAGGAGCTTATCTGTTCCAGTATTATTTCCCATCATTCCATGTGTATATTTTTAGGATTTAAAGATTAGGAGTTAATAGCAGAAATCCATCACAGGTTCACTAGGAAATTAAATAGAATACCCGCAGAATTACAGCAAAAGTTTTCAACCTTGTGAGAAAGTCTAGGCTAACACTTGACTTAGAGGGACAGATCCACAAAAGCTTTAAGACCAGTGAGGGCAATTAAACCTCTATTCTGAGGTTAAACTGATTGTCAAATGTTCCAGCCTAACTGGTATCTAAGCCTGACTATGTCAGGAGTAGTAACGTAGAACATTTAAGTTAGAATGAGCTCCAGATTTTAGTTACTAAGTGTGTACTCAGGATTAGATGGCCATGTGTAGAGCCAAAAACTACTTAAGTTAACCCACTGCACATTTTTGTGACCTGTAATCACATCTCAACACTGTGGTGTGACACATCTTTAATCATCTGCTTCTGAGTAGGCCCAGTCCAATCCTGGCAATATTAGAAGAGCTGTGCACTTATGGCTGTTGGCAGGATGCCCAATGGCAAGAGCAAGAAAACTATTTCATAAAACCTTCCTGACAAAAAGAAAGTTACCTGATAGATAACTTTTAGTGGAATAGATTTAACACATAGAAAGGGGACTGCCCTGCATTTAGAACACCCTCCTGGAGAATGAAATATTGAATTCAGTCCCCTGTAGAATAAGAGGCATTTCAGTCTTAAATTGTCTGATGAGTAAACCTGACCCTGGGATGTGGACAGATCATACTTCCCACCATGGAAAAAAGTTCACACTGTGTATCCACAGTGGGTGAGAGAAAGCACCTTACTGTTTCTGTAGGATGTATTCAGTTTTTAGTTCAAATGACTTTTCCCTGATGGCAAACATAGGCAGATCCTTGCTGAGTTTTGGTAAATTTTGATTCCATGGGTCTTGCATTTCCCATTCCTTGGTATCCAACCTACCAGCTCTTCCAGTGCCTACAGCCTGCAGCACACCTGCAGTCCTTTTGTGGATCTATCCCCAAGTCACAGACACTAGACTAGGATTTTTCTTGCATAAGAAGAAGAGACTGCTCCTCCTTCCTCAAGGTAACTACTACAGATTGTTGGGCAAAATGAAATTCGTCTACTGTTTCTGTATACTGTAAAAGAAGTAGGTTTTGTGTTCTTTACAGATAAAAATGTGTATTTTTTTCTTGGCTGGCCCTGTTAATTTGGCCAGCCGTGAACCGCACAATGTAAAATGGAGCAGAGATCCCACTGCCTGTGGACTCTGAAAATCAAGTCTTTGTGTTTTAACAAGCACGATTCCACAGCAGCTGTGCTGTATCTTAGTTCACTTCAGACAGGTTGATTCACAAGTTATTCTGTTACTTTGATTCAACACTCAGCATAATTACCTGTTTTACTACAGCCGCCTTTCCTCCTTCCTTTGTTGTGGATGTAAGTGCTTCATTCAAGCATTGCAGACTAAAAATAAATTATTAAGTTACAATGGAGAGCTAGTAGAAAGATGGGTATCAAAAGGAGCAGAAAGCAGCAGCAGGAAGACTTACCTTGCTAGCTCAAGACGATCACAAAGCTTTTCCACCTCCTCCATCATTTTAACACAATCTGCCTCATTATCAGAAAAGTAATTCCAGTTCTGGAAGCAGAAATACATGTTCTACAAAGTTCTTGAACTTTATTGTCCTATTCCTTCAGACAAAGGCTTAACACACTGCGTTCTTCAGCCACTGCTGTGTTTGGACCTATTTGTCAGCTTTACTCATAACTCATATGCATGTAAGTATGTGTTTTAGTTTTTTGGTTTTTTTAGTAAACCCACTTTCCATACCCATCTCCAGCCCTAAGAACAAGCAAACATGTGATATGGTTTATCTAAGCAAACATAGTAATTTGTCTGATGTAACCTGTATTTCATTGTAATAATAGTTAAATACCTTGCATGTTGTTCTGAGTTTTTGCCTTTCTTTCTTGATTGCTTTCTTCTGTATCTCTTTTTCCTTTTTTGCCACTAGTGCTTGCTGCCTAACTTCTTCTTCCTCCTTTTCTTTTGCTAACCGCGCTGCTTCTAATTCTGCTTGTCTTTGCTGCAACCAGAAGGAAAAAAAATGCAAGTAAAAAATCATCCAGGTCACACTGTTACAGGGTCATTCATTATCCAGTATCAAAATGTGTTGTTTCTGGTTTGGGTGGAATTTCGTTTGTATGTTGGGGGGTTTAAAAATGCATAAATACTTTAATGTTTGGTTTTCCAAGAATTTTGAGGGAGATGATGAAACATAGCATTAAGTCAAATATTCACTGTGAGGACCCTCAGTTCATAAATCCTGATTTCTTCTACAACGAAGATATAAAACCATACATGATTTCCTACTCTTGCCTCAGGAGTATAAACTTCGTGATTCAGTATTTATCCTGCATCATTACTGATGTATTTTGCAGTGTTCTAATGTTTTTTAAGTTACTTTTTTGCACCTTACAGTTCCCTATCATTCTTGTACTTTCAGAGCCATCTTCTCCAAACTGTTCATATTTATCAAGTATGTTCTGTTACCTCAAAATATTTCATACCAACGAACCATTCACAAACCACATGCACAAGGCAAGCAGACGTATCCATTTTATGCACTTAATGCTTGCCTTGAAACCAGAGGAAGAGTATGCAACAGAAGAACTTAGTTTTCAAAGTGTTTTGTCTCGGATCTGCATTCCTTGTTTCCATCTCATTCTCAGAAGGCTGCCAGCCTTACACTGCCTACTGCACAGGCATCAAAGACAACACATTTTTGAACCCCAGGGTAATTCTGTCAGTAGTTTCCTGACAAATCTAGAACCTGAAGCAGCAGGTGTGAATGAAGCAGAGTTTTTAAACCCAAATAAAGAACTTCACTTACCTTTTCTTTTGCTTCCTGTTCTTTTCGTTTTGCTTCTACCTTGGCTTTCTTCTCTGCTTCCTTCTTTGCCTTTTCTTCCTCCTTAAATTTCTTTATCCTGGGATCACAGCTGTATGCATTGTCTGGCAGAAGAGAGGAAGCATCATGTATAGAAGAAAACCAGGAGACTTCCACAGTTAGTTAATTAATCTCTCTTTAAAGAACAGCAGTTTGTGTGCTCACCAACAAGAGTCCTAATTCTGTTCATTTCTTCTTTTTTTCTCAATGCTCTGGCAGCTCTGTTCTGCTTTTCAATCCACCTCCTTTCATCTCGACTAAAAGGGAAAGCATAGTTCAGTGCTAATGCTTTACACTGCCACTGTTAGAAATTCATCAACAAGCTTCTTAAATACTTTCCCCCACACAGATGTTCTTCTGTGAATACTTCAAAAATAGACTTCAAAAAATTAAGTTCCAGGCCCTGAGCTCATGTACAAAATGCTAAGTGTTTACATAGTTACATAAACCTGACAAAGCAAGCTGCTTATCTGTCATTGTAGGGAATGAGATCATGGACTTTATTTCCAAAATGCAATCCACTTGCTTATCTAACATCAAACTCAAGGAAAACAACAGAAATGCTAGCATATGGCTTCATTAAAGGACAGCAGTATTAACAATGCCACAGTTATCTTGTTTTGCAGAATATAGTCATGTCAAGTAAACCCATCTGCACAGAAACACCACTCTATGAAGTAGCATGATGCTCTGGGTAAAGTCATGCCAGATTCACTCCAGTAAAATACAGCTCAGGTTATTGATGGGCCAACTAAATAATCTGAAGTATTTACCAATGCTGTCAAGAAAGAGGCAAATTTTTAGTGGGGGTCTATAGCTTCATCCACACAACCACAACAGAGGGAGAACAGAGAACAATAGAGGGGACAGGGAAGTTGGAACTATGAGGTATTTAAAGCTCCTTCCAACCCAAACCACTCTACCTCAGAACAAAGAAAACAATCCCCATAACGGAGAAGGAGACTAATACGAGTAGACTGAAGCTTTAAAACATGAGCAACATCACCTTTGGCAAGAAGGGGTAGCAAGAATCATGACCATCTGAACAGCAGCTGTAATGTAGTTCTCTCTCCTAAGTACAGCAGACTAGGTACCATTTGTCTAAACATCTTTGAGAAAGGACACTAATGACAGGAATGAGCAGAAAAAAAGAGCTATGCAAGTAATTCAAGATCGTTCCAATGAGAAGCCTAGAGGTTCATCTGTGTGATTTACCACAAGTGATAGGAAATTGATTACAGTGCCTTCACAGAATTTTCACAGGAGACAGAAGAGTGGGTCTGGTGAGGCTCAAGAAACCCAGTGCAGGAAGAGGCACAAGAGAAGAGAAATGCCTAGCTACAGCCTAAATATGGCAGTTTCTAGCACGAAGAAATCCTACCATAGAATCTAAATACAAAACTGATTTCTAGCCAAACTTGGAAGAAGAGATTCATACGATGCAAATTATGGTCTCACAAGGATTACTAAGTGAGGTTGTGTCCTGTGAAATGTGTGTTAGACTAAAGCTCCAATCTGAACACTCTGTGTTTATAACTGTAGGAAGGATAAAAACAAAATGTATTTTTGAATGCACCGTGGTCTAAGTAATTCAGCAACTATCACTACATCAACTAATACATAATTTTTAGCATCAAGCTATCAGAACTCATCTCTCCAAATTCTAGGAAGTATCACTTTCTCAGTATAAGTTTAAAGAGAGATATGATACCGGCATGCTCATCCACTCTGTCCTGGCTCCAGGTTCAACCTGTGCTTGGGACTGGCAGGAATTACAAGTCTGGACTTAAATGAACACACATTTCAAAGCACCCCAGATAACACCTCTGTGAGGCAAGCAGGAACTACAATTACACAAAGGAGCCCACAGTAAGTTCAGTTCAAGTCCATGACTGACCCCTAAGATGGGAGAGTGGAATTCAGACTTAGCTCAGCTGCCTTTCTTCCTATGACTTACAGTCTAAGAGAAAGTTGGAAAATCTTGCTGTATCAACCTCTCAGTCTCCTGTCAAAATTATTTTTACTTACATACCATTCTGCTTTTTCTTTTTCCTCTTCATCTAAATAGGAAAACTCTCTCCAGGAATCAAAATTATACCTAAAGTAAATTTAAGGGAAAAAAAAAACGTGAATGAAAACCCAGCAAATCTGTTAAACATCACCTACCTTTTTTACTGTTATGTGTTTATAGGCAACTGTACTGCTGTTTACAATTTATAATACATAATTTAAAATTATTCTGTACCTACAGTGATTCCACTGTGTTAAGTCAAAATGTAGGATATGATTTACACCTCTGTCTACTGTGGGACAGTCTACTTCAGGATGGCATTGGTCTTGCCCACTCTAAATGTCTACAGCTGTCTATACTTCTGTCATAGGCAGTGGAAATGCAATGTAGTCAGTAGAGTTCAGAGAGAAATTAATCTTTATGTGAGCACCCATGCTTAGCAGGTACAGCAAGCCATAAACATGACTGACTTTTTTGAACTAAACACACTTCCCTTTACTAGGGGAGCTTAAACACCTAAGATGTCTCCACTAAAAACACAGGTTAGGTAAGATAAACTTGACTTCCAGTCTGTGGGTCAGCTCAGTTCTCAGCTACCACAGTCAGAAATTCCCACTGCAACCGTGAATTTACAAGTGGGTGAATTAGCCAGGAGAAAGCTAGCTCAGTTTGTGGAAGGCACAAACAGCTGTGGGGTAATTTTGTGACATCAGGAGGCTGGGACAGTCCACAGCAAACATCCCACACACCAAAGGGTCTGCAAGCCCTTTATATTGCATGTCTTGATAGAAACAGAGGCATCAGCTGACTTACCAAAAGGAATAGAATGCATCTACCTCCTCAAATGAGGAGTTCATGTCCCCAAGTTTAGGTACGTTTTTCTTGTTTGACCACCTGAAAATACATGGATATATTCAAGAAATAACATATACAATCTTCATAATGTGGTATTTGTTAAGTACAGAATCAAAACCCGAGATTCCCTCTCACCAACACAGAGAGGGCACCAGGAAAGAGGAACAGAACAGGAGAGTTCTTCCTAAGTATCCTCCAGATTGGCATTTTTGGGTAAGTTTCCCAAAAAAGCAACCTTCTCCTGCCTGAGTGCCTTCAGCCTTGTGCCTCAAGAAGACCTGATGGAGCACAAGCTATCTTTGTAGATACTCAGTTCTCCATACACATTCTTCTGGCAGAGGAGCTTACAGAAAGTGGCCAGAAAGTGCTCTGTGAATAACTCAACTCTGTGCTAGGGTACAGGAAGTCTCCCACACATTCTAATGGAGTACAAGGGAATAATGCATACTTTGCCCCCACTGCATTTTTTTCTAGGGAAATCTTCCACAGGCTCTAGAATTTGTTGTTCCATGACACAGCATTAATTGCCATTGCAGAGAAGGGAAAAACCTCATCTGACAACCACAGATCCAGGTCTGAAGTCTATGGAATAAGATTCAGTAAGACTAGTTTAAACAGTAATTGTTCAGAATGTTGTAAAGTGCCTCATGTAATTAAGTCTTTTTATACAGGGAAAAGTTGGCACGTTTCCATTGTGACAACCTTAATACCAAGTTAATTGTCAACCAGGAATCAAATGCAGAAAAAGTCACACAATATAAGAGAGAGCCACCAAATATTGACAGCTACAATTATCTTCTCTTTTAACCAGCTAAATCATGACTGTAACTACTGTCTTCTGTGAACGTCTCACTCTCAGAATAATTAAAAAAAAGAAATTTTTAGTCAGCAACACACATTTGGTATTGTAAGTAGTTTTAAGATGAAACAATGAGTTGTGCAAAAAAGGGCAGTAAGTAATAGGAAGCGGAGAACTTTTATAAAAATTGCATGGGTCAAACTCAATGCCATCAGCTGACAGTTCAGATTATTTTAAAATGAAATAAAAAATAATTGCAACTATTTTAGTTGTATTACATTTCTAGCCAATTAATACATCTCTTGTTACAAACACAATGTCAGAACATTTCAGTCAAGACATAGCTTACCTGGCATTTCTTTCAAAAACTGGTGAGAAAACTTCGAAGAAGTTTTCTTTGGCTTCACTTTTGGAAGGTACAGAGTTATCAAAAGTTGGATCTATGCTGTTAAATGCTCGTCGTTTCACAGGATCAGATAGTATTTCATAAGCTGAAAGTTACCAGACATAAGGTTGTAAACGTTTAAAAAGATGTTCTCAGATCTATGTTTGATCTATCCGTAGTGTTTTGTAGAGCTTGATATTTATTTTAGTGACACCAAAAAGCATTGCTGTCTGTTCCTGCTAAACTAAGTAGGAGGAAAACATTTATGAAAAAGGACACATTTAACCACTAAGATGTAACAAAACAGACAATATTTAATTTTATAGCCGTAAATTTTGTTCAGACACTGGGAGTTTGGCATGACATCTTCAGAATTTTATCCTATACCAGATCCTTGCAGATAAATTAACAAAATGGTCTACTAAGGCACAGAGCAAAAGCAGTCCCTGAGTTCATGTGTTGTCAGAATGGGCAAGAACAGGAACCATTCATTAGAATTTCTGCAGGTGATGATGAAGTTGTACTGAGTCTTGGACAGAATACAGAACTCCACACAAACTCTCCAAAACATCAAACAGTCCCAGTTTTCCTGTTCCTACACCCCTGCAGTTGGGGAACATCACATTACTAATTTTATATTCTGGAAATCAAAAAAGCTACAGCTTCAGTACTCTTACTTTTTTCTCAATGAAGTGTGGAGTTTTACAATGACCACTGTTTTTCAGTAAGAATGAAAAGTGGAATCAATAGAATTTGTATTGCAATCATTCATGGACTTCTGTGCCTGCACCCCTGCCAGAGGACACTGCACCATGAAGGCTGGATGTAGGTGATAACCTGGAGGAGACCTTGGTGCTCTGCAGTTCTGTAAGCTGATCTCACTGCACATGTCAGTGG